TGTATATGTATATGTATTGGTATATGCATCTGTAGATGGAAGTGCAAAAATACTAGTATGCCTCGATAAAAGTGAGATGGTAGATTCGATTAGCATGGTGTACTTAACAGTACCACAGACTTTTTGCTGCTATCTTGCACTGTTGCACATGGATAACAAGCCGACTGATGAACTAGCGGCAAATCACATCGATGCTCACCCGCACCCACCTGCCTGACATATACATGCATTAATTCGGGCTTGTTTCCCTTGGTGCATGGCCAAGGTTTATGTACATTGCCTTTCGGTAGCGTTCTCGAGCAACATACTTTGTCACAAGGAATCCTATCCTATCGGCAGAAGTCTACAGGATATAGTATTTTCAGGTCAGGAATGAATGCTTAAGCATTTTGAGGCAGGGCACGTGAGATTCAGAAGTTGGACTACTCTACCTTAAACTGACTTGGATGGAGCACTCTAGTGATCCTGATGGGGTCCGGATTATAGCTATAAGACAATAAGCCCCCAAAGCCTTATGCTAGTTATTAAGGGTCTAGCTGACGTCGAGAAACTGGCAGTGAGTTTCGATGCAGCACCTGTCCTGGGTACGAAGCCTAGGAAACGTTTGAGCTACTTCCGCGAGCGCATGGCCGGCATGGACGGGGAGGCAGGGTCTGGATGGGAGCAGTCGCGACACTCGCAGTGTCTAATTCTAAACTGGAAACAAATTCCGGCTTTCAGACAAACCAGGGCGAAACATGCTTCATGTTTCACTATCACTGGCTGGAGCTTCATTTTCGATGTACAACTTGTATCTAGGAAAAGCTTAAATCTTTCGCGCTTGCCACCCTCTCTTGAACACAGCGGCTCTGATGCGAGTCAGAGCCCAGAGCCGGGAGGATCCGACAAGTAGATCGCTTCATTGGGTTCCTTTAAAGTACCCTTTTGTAGAAAACGGGTCCCAAATCAGGGGTTCTACTTTCACGAGTTTTTTGTTGGGGGTTTGGGAATCTGAGTCACCGGCTTTGAGCCCTCAAGCTGTTTACGTTGTAGCAGTTCCTCTGCCAGGACAAGTTCCTTTATGGGACGCATTACTCCACACCTGCGTATGTGATCTACTGGCTGCTGCGGGCTATGCCGGAGAGACACCTGGCAGCAGGTGAGTGAGATTTATGCTGATCGTTTCACCTGCCAGGTGAGGGATGGTGAGCATCTCTCAACGTACTAAATGAATCTTTGTGTCGGGCTTTCTCCTTAGCGCGTTTCCAATAGGACATATTCGACAGATCATCAGAGCTGACAAACGATCCCGAGGGATGCTGCGCTTGCACAACGGGCACTTCGATGCTCCCTGGTTGAGTATGTGGGCAGACATGCCCCTGTAGATGCGCGTTGCGATTAACGTGGCGATCTTGCATACTCTTGCCCGGAGCCAGTCGGAGCGACCAGAGGGTCCGTAACTTGAACCCCGAACTTTGGACTTTCAGCTACCTCTCCCAACTTCAGTCGTTTTGCGGCCTTGCTGGAACAGCATCTGAAGCACTTCTTACGGTGACATTAACACCCCGAAAGTCCTTGATCAATGCCCTCAACGAGGCTTGGGCTCGGCTATTCAGATCTGTCCCGGAGTCGTGGCAATCCGTAAACGCCTGGGGCTGAGAATGTGATTGTTGTTGTTGTTGCTGTTG